CTCAAAAATACGCTTAATTAATTTGGTTCAATCCTTTTGTGATCTATCCTCGACTTGTATAAATATGCTGTATCTCTCACTAGTAGTTTATTCGTTTTGCTTTTTTCGATCGTTCAACACATTATTGAAGAGAAGAAAAATTTAAATTTACTAAAAACATTACCATTACTTAAGAAAATCTACTCTTTCGAATAGATCACCGCATCAAACTCAATCACTAGCATCTTCATTTTTTTCAAAAAAAAATAAATAAATAAATAAGTACATTTTCAAATGGCATCATCATCGAATACTCGTCGGACAATTACAATGGAAGGCACCATAGTTGATGTGCCACTTGGTCGTGGAGGAAAACCCAAACGGATTCGCACTCCAATCACTAGAGAGAAAGCACGCTATCTCGAGGCGAATTTCATATTGAATAACTATCCGCCAAGAGTACACCGAGAGCAATTGGCACATATTCTGGGATTAACTGTGCGGAATGTTGTTGTGTGGTTAAATAATCGTCGCCGGCTTAAGAAGAAACAACAGATGTCTCAACCAGTTCAACAATCACACTCAATTGACCTATCACCAACATCCGTGAATACGATGAATAGCCGCGATTTCCATGAATATTTGCCGATATTTATGAATTCAGCCCACGCAAGTATGCATCCGGATTTTTTTCAAAGTTTGACGCCTGACGAATGGAATGATGTACTGAGCCGCGATGGATATGATCTTGACATAAAAATATGGTAACAATGAAAATATTGGGCATACCATGCAGTGGAAGCAACTTGAGTTTATGTAACACAATCGACGCGAGCGCTCTCAGTTCCAAAGGGCACATCAATGCAATTTAACAATTCAAATCGAAACTAAAGAGCGCGCCAAATTTAAAATTTTGTGTTATTTCCACCGCATGGGGCATATGGCTGTAGGGAAAGTAGGGTTACTCAGGGATCTCATTTAATCCATGTAAAGTCTGTTAAAATATTAACTTTAGTCAGTCAGTAAGTTCTTTGTTAAATACAAGCATTTTTTTTTCTCTAAAAAATAAATAAATACATTCAAATAAAAGCCAAAAACAAAAAAACGTTTTAAACATTTTTAAACCATATTTCTGATTCTGAATTTAGGTGGATGAATCTATTTAAACAACAAAAGATCATTAAACGGTAACAATCAAGAGAAATTGTTTTGCATATTGCATTTCACGTCATAAAAAACTAGATAGTTTCACTAATGACA